TGCCACGCGCAGCCGCGGCTGGTTCGCCAGCACAACATCCAGGTCCCCGAGATCCGCGTCACCGAGGAGCCCGACAAACCCGAAAAGGAAAAGGAGGCGCCCAGCAAGGAGCCCGAGAAGCCCGTGGAGGAATTCCAGTGGCCCCAGCGGAGCGAGACCCTCTCCCAGCTCCCCGCCGAGAAGCTGCCGCCCAAGAAGAAGCGCCTGCGCCTGGCCGACATGGAGCACTCCTCCGGGGAGTCCAGCTTCGAGTCCACGGGCACCGGCCTCTCCCGCAGCCCGAGTCAGGAGAGCAACCTGTCGCACAGCTCCAGCTTCTCCATGTCTTTCGAGAGGGAGGAGACCGTGAAGCTCGCCGCTCCCCCTAAGCAGGATGAGTTCGGGAAGCATTCCGAGTTCCTGACCGTCCCCGCCGGCTCCTACTCGTTGTCCGTTCCGGGCCATCACCACCAGAAAGAGATGCGACGTTGTTCCTCGGAGCAGATGCCTTGTCCCCACCCCACGGAAGTCCCGGAAATCCGGAGCAAATCCTTCGATTATGGGAACCTTTCCCACGCCCCCGTGGCCGGGGCATCCACCTCCACGCTATCCCCATCCAGGGAGAGGAAGAAATGCTTTCTGGTGCGGCAGGCTTCCTTCAGTGGCTCTCCAGAAATTGCACAAGGGGAAGCTGGGGTGGACCCTGGCGTCAAGCAAGAGCAGATGGAACAACTGCACGCAGGCCTCAGAGCCACGTGGCACCCCGGCCCGTCCTCCATGCTTCCGCCGCTCCCCACCGAGGACCCAGGCAAGCAGAGCGTGGGGCCTTGCGCTCCACTCAGCTCCGGGCCGCTCCACCTGGCCCAGCCTCAGATCATGCACATGGACAGTCAGGAACCTTCCAGAAATCCCTTGCTGCAGCCAACATCCTACATGACAAGCAAGCACTTATCGGAGCAGCCACATTTGTTTGCACATCAAGAGACGATTCCATTTTCTCCAATCCAGAACACTCTGTTTCAGTTTCAGTATCCTACGGTCTGCATGGTTCACTTACCAACCCAGCAGCCGCCCTGGTGGCAGGCGCATTTCCCTCCTTCCTTTACCCAGCATCCTCAGAAGAGCTACAGCAAGCCTTCTTTCCAGGCGGAGATCCATTCTAGCTATCCCTTAGAGCACATTGCAGAACACGCTAGAAAGAAATCTGCAGACCACGTGCACACAAAAGAGCAAACCTACCCGTGTTATTCAGGAACATCAGGGCTACACTCAAAGAACCTTTCTCCAAAGTTCCCGTCAGAACCTAGCAGTAAGTCCACGGAGACTCCTTCTGAGCAGCTTCTTCAGGAAGAGTTTGCCTCGGCAAATGCTGGGCCTTTGCAGTCCCTCCCAGGAACCGTGGTGCCTGTTCGGCTCCAGACACACGTTCCTTCCTATGGCAGTGTCATGTACACAAGCATCTCCCAGATACTTGGGCAGAACAGCCCTGCGATCGTCATATGCAAAGTTGACGAGAATATGACCCAAAGAACACTGGTCACCAACGCGGCCATGCAAGGGATAGGATTTAACATCGCCCAGGTGCTGGGGCCGCATGCAGGCTTGGAGAAATACCCCCTCTGGAAAGTACCTCAGACTCTACCCCTCGGCTTAGAATCCTCCATCCCCTTATGTTTACCTTCCACCTCAGACAGTGCCGCCTCTCTGGGAGGTAGCAAGCGGATGCTGTCTCCAGCCAGTAGCTTGGAACTCTTCATGGAAACAAAGCAGCAAAAACGGGTCAAAGAAGAGAAGATGTACGGACAGATAGTTGAGGAGCTCAGTGCGGTGGAGCTCACCAACTCAGACATGAAGAAGGGCCTCTCCCGCCCCCAGAAACCCCAGCTGGTTCGACAAGGGTGTGCCTCTGAGCCAAAGGATGGCTTGCAGTCAAGGTCATCTTCCTTCTCCTCCCTGTCACCTTCCTCATCTCAAGACTATCCATCTGCCAGTGGGCCATCCAGGGAGCCATTCCCTCCCAGCAGGGAGCTGCTTTCTGGTTCCAGAGCGCCCCCTTCTGGGCAGAAGTCCAGAAGGCTTTCAGATAGCAGAGAGTCCTCCGATGAATTAGATATCGATGAGACAGCCTCAGACATGAGCATGAGTCCTCAAAGTTCTTCACTGCCAACGGGAGATAGTCAGCAAGAAGAAGAAGGGAAGGGCCGGAAGATGCCCGTTGGCATGTTGGTCCACGTGGCTTCTGGCCCTGGCGGGAATGTGGCAAACTCCACACTTCTTTTCACAGATGTGGCAGATTTCCAGCAGATTCTTCAGTTCCCCAGTCTGCGGACAACAACTACTGTGAGTTGGTGCTTCTTGAATTATACAAAACCCAATTTCGTCCAACAGGCCACCTTCAAATCTTCGGTTTATGCTTCATGGTGCATTAGTTCTTGTAACCCCAACCCATCAGGATTGAACACCAAGACTACACTGGCTCTTCTGAGGTCCAAGCAAAAAATCACAGCAGAAATTTACACTCTGGCTGCTATGCACAGGCCGGGAACTGGCAAGCTTACATCATCCGGCGCTTGGAAGCAGTTTGCACAGGTAACTCACTCATTTCAGAAGGTTCTGGGTGATGGGTGTAATTCTGAGTAGACTAGATAATGATGGAAAGATAGCCTAAAATATACTGGCAAAATTAAGACCCTAATTGGGCTCTGTGCACTGAGGGCTCATGCGTGTAATTCTACCTACTCAGAGGCTAAGACCTGGAGGATAGTTGTTCAAATCCTGGGCAGAAAAGGCCATGAGACTCTGTTGCCAATTAACCCTCAAATAGCCAGCTTGAGCAGCATGGCCCTGTGGTAGAACACCAGCCAAGAGAGCGAGAGCCTGATACTCAGAGATGAAGCTCTAAAAAGATACATAAAAATGGAAAATCAGAATTAGGGGAGCACTGGGGAACAAAAGCCTTACTCAGAGATGGAAAAGTGGGTGACTGTCTCTAGTTCAGAGGATTCTGGGGCAAGAATTAACATATCTTCACCAACTGCCATGATGTTTCTCCCATTGAGAACAATCCCCATGGGTTGTTCTCCCATATGGCCAATATCAGAGAGGAATTCAGGGAATTGCAAAACAGAGACATAAAACAGGGAAGGGGATCCAGAAATGGAAGATCAGGAAGGAAGGAAGTGTGAACACTGACAGAACCATGATTGCCCAATGTCTAAGGCCTTATAGTCATTTGACAACATTTTTCCCTGAGATGTTTACTCCATTTATTTTCTCTTTAAAAAATCAACTTTTCCAAAAATCTTAGCAGGTTTGTTCTTGTATGACAATTACTTTTTTACATGTAAAATTACTATAAAAATGTTAATAAGAAGCATATTGAAATTCATGGCAAATTAAAAATGAAACGAATATAGGATTTTTTAGGGGGGGTCATGGGGCTTGAACTCTGGGCCTGGGCGCTGTCCCTCAGCCCTTCAAGCTCAAGGCTAGCACTCTACCACTTGAGCCACAGTGCCACTTCCGGTTTTCTGGTGGTTTATTGGAGATAAGAGTCTCATGGACTTTCCAGCCAGGCTGGCTTTGAACTTCGATCCTCAGATTTCAGCCTCCTGAGTAGCTAGGATTACAGGCATGAGCCACCAGCACCCGGCTTCTTTTTTTCTTTTCTTTCTTTCTTTTTTTGAACGTGTGCCTGTCCTGGCACTTGTACTCAGGGCCTTGGGCTCTTACTTGGCCATTTGTTCAAAGCTACTGTCCTACCACTTAAGCCATACCTTGCGGCTTTCTGCTAGTTAATTGGAGATTAGAGTCACTGATTTATCTGCCCAAGCTGGTTTCCAAGCAAGATCCTCAGATCTCAGCCTTATGAGCCATCAGTACCTGGCATGAGCCAGTGGCGCCTGGCTAGGATTTGAATGTTTAAATTTGTATCAGTTATTACTTTCCCTCCAATAATTTTTGAGACTGTTTAATATATAGATTGCAGATTGTTTTGGTTGCTATTTTAAAGTACAGTGTCTTGAAGTCTCTTTTTAGAGTTGTACAGAATAAATGATAATGAGTACCTGTGAATTACTGGGTTGAAGTTACATCATTTTTCTCTCATTTTATTCAGTGTCCCATATCTTAGGTAACCAGCCCCTGTGTCTTGGAGAAAGCATGTGAAGTTCCTCTCTCTTTTTGTCCTGCAGATGAAACCCGATGCATCTTTTATATTTGGCAGCAAACTAGAAAGGAAATTAGTGGGGAATATCTTAAAGGAAAGAGGGAAAGGAGATATTCATGGAGATAAAGATATTGGATCAAAACAAACTGAGCCAATACGAATTAAAATCTTTGAAGGAGGGTAAGTGCAAGTGGAAATGTCCAGTTGTATGACAAAGTAAATGGTCCTGGAATTTTATGTGGAAAAAAGAGTGTCTTCTTAAGTGTGTTCCACTTCCAGTCACATTTCTAAATTTGGCTGGTGATAGAAGCTGACTTCCTTCCCCTCCTCTTCCCTCTCCCCTCCTCTTTTCTTTTCTGTTTCTCTTTTGATAAGTTTAATAATTTAGTTACCTATATCGTTTATTTTCAGTCCTTTAAAGTAGCCTATCATGTAGATTTTTGGGTCTTCAGAACTGCTTATTGCAAATATTTTTATTTGTACAGGTTTTTTTTTCTAATGTACAGCTAAATTTTACCCAACCATTTGACTGTGTTTTATTATGGAAAGAAGTTAATCTGAGGCATTGAAGGCACAATGATGGGCTGTAGTAAGCTCGGAGTAGCCCTTCAAGAAAACTGGCTTTCTGTAAAGTTCTTTTATTTTATGTTCCTTAAGCAATTTCAGAATAGGGAAATGGAATGGGGAAAGGCATTTTGCATCTTTAGATTTTGTTCTATTATAAAATGTGAGATGAAAGACTAGTTTTGAAGAACAAGTTGAAGTTGGAATTTCTTGTTGAAAGTATAAAATTAAAGAAAGTAGCCAGGAAAAATTAACTTATTCATATATTTGACTCTAGTTAACTCTCATTTGGATTAGTACTGGCCATAATGTGGATAGTGTTAGGATTGTATAACATCCATAACAGAACTGGAATTAAAATGTATAAATGTTTTTTCTTCTCTTATGAATCCTTCCATTGATTGGATGATTAAAGTTGAGCTTGGTTTCCTTGCTGTTGATGGATGGGAAATATGCTATTCTCTTAGAATGAAAAACTATGAATCTGGTTCCTGTTAAGTAAGTGCACAGTAAAGGAGACATCCTGAATGATAGTTTACCTTTAGAAATTATAAGGGGAACCCTCTGAATGGAAAACCTTCCAAAATGACATCATACTCACAATTTTACTTACAATTCTAGCTGTGATTTAAAAGCTAAGGCTACTCATTGAACTAATTATTCTGTAAGCCTCCACTTCACTTTATGATATATCCTGTGTTATTGTATTGTAATCACAATGAAATATTAGACCACTGGGTAGCTATCTTCTCTTGATATAGCTAATCATTCGTTCATCTGTGTCTGGAATAGTTGAACTTAGATAGCCTTTCAAACCTCTCTATGAAAATCTTTCTGGGAAAAATGTAGATTGTATTAAAAATAGAACCTCCAGTTTTCATTATGCAACCCTACCTTCAAGAAGCCAATTGAAAGTTAGACTCCCCATCAGTACAGATTCATGATCCCTTGGAAGAGCAACTCAAAGCTGTAGACAGCAGTTGGTGAGATGAGCTCAGCCTGTGTTAAATGAGGAATTTCTGAGGCACTTGTATGCTGGGATGGTAAAAATAGAGTAGAAGCTAGCAGTGAAGGAAACTCTATTACCAGTTACACTTATTTTAGCAAATGTTGAGAGGGTCTGTACATGTACGTTTTAGATGATGTAATGTTAACAAATGATGCATGAAGCATGATGATTCCAATACATTGGTATCCCTTTTGGCTGTCCCTGATGGAAGGCTATCTGGAATCAAAGAGTGGGGAAGCCCAGGTCTGTAACTACTATTTGGGTATGTGTATTCCCTCTGAAGCGTGTATGTTCTACACCTATAAATTTACCCTTAATAGCACAGTCAGTTCCATGTAGGATTACATTTTGTTGCAGTAATCAGCTGACTGTCTAATTCTTCTGGTCATTTACTGTATGAATTTCATGAAAGGGAAGTTGACTAATTGTTGAGAAAGATTCCCAGGCCATGCAATGATTAGCTTTGGGCTTGGTGCATACAACATGCTAAGGGTATTTGAAACCATACTGGATTGCCTCTTTTCAAAACAGGTATAAATCAAACGAAGATTATGTATATGTGAGAGGACGTGGGCGAGGAAAGTATATTTGTGAAGAATGTGGGATTCGCTGTAAGAAACCAAGCATGCTGAAAAAACACATACGCACGCATACAGATGTTCGGCCTTATGTATGCAAGTTATGTAACTTTGCCTTCAAAACGAAAGGTACAAGTATGGGGGGGGTTAGAGGAAAAATACTTTTTCTATGACTATTTAATATTCTGAATACTACTTTGTAATTCACTTTAATCAATAGTAAGATGGTTTTGACCAGGCAATAACTTACAATTGTAATCCAGGCTACTTCAGAGGCAGAGATAGGAAGGTCATGGTACCTCATTAGTTTCGGGGGAAAAAAGATGGGATCTTACCTCAAAGACTAAGCTGGGCATGGTGATTCATGCCTGTAATTCCAGCTATATGGGAGGCAAAGGTAGAAGGATTGAGGTCCCAGGCCAATCAAAGCAAAAAGCCTAAGACCCTATATGAAAGACAAGTAAAGCAAGAGGAATTGAGGGCATGGCTCAAGTAATGGAACACTTGTCTAGGGAACATGAGGCCCTTTGTTCAAATCCAAGTACTCCTCTCCCACCATAAAAAAACCACAACATAAAACATACATAAAAACAGTAAGATAATGTTGTTTGTGTCAATGTGACTCCATGAAATTTTTTTTCTCTCCCTCATGTCAATGGTGATCAAAGGATGTTATGTGAGACTGCAAGGCTCCTTTTATGACTAATTAAGAGCTATAGATGTAGAGCCAGGCTAGTTGTCTCCAAAGGAAGTGGCTAAGAATTGCCTGGATAACCATTACTTCATGTTGGAAATGTTATGTGGTCTAGATAATATTTGCATCAGCTGCAGGAAGACAGTGCATACAGAGCAGTAGTAAAACAGGGCAGCAGCTGGGGAGAAGTCCTGTGCTCATGGTCAGTTTCAAACTTATAAATAATGTAGAGATCCACAGACTCCCAGGTGGGCCTGCCATCCATTCACAGGTGCATTAATTATGCATAGAAATCAGATGGCTTCTGTTCTGAGTATTTATCAGCACAGAGACAATTCCTTACTCTAAGGCCACAACTGTTAATCTTCAGAACTAGGCATACCCAGAAATGACATTTTATCATTTTCACATTTTAAGGTCTATTTTTTAACAGGCTAATTTATATAAAAATACGTTACCTCAAAGGTTGCTTCAGTTATATTTCTATCATCAAACCATAAGATAGTTCACTAAGTCTGATGTTCTAAAATTCAGACAGTAGTGCATTCGAGGGTGTTTGACTTTTGTATAGAAAAATGTGTTTTCCATCGGATCTACTGGATTCTGTGGACATCCTTCACCAACCTCTCACCATTTCCAGTGTCTTAACTTTTAATTTGAATGTCAAGTAATCTGCCACCATGAAGTCAGATAAATACCAGATGAAATAACACAATAGAGAAATGTATATCTGTTTTATAGCTCCAGATCCTAAATTTTTGTATTGATGTGACAGAAATGTAAACCTACAGCATTTCCACATAGCTGTTATTTCTTTATTAGAAAGGTATTTATATAACATGCATACGTCAATTAGAGCAACAAAAAAAGGTAGAAAGGGTTTGCATATGATCCTTTAAATACCTTCCACTTTTGCACAATTGTGACTTTCATATGTTTACTGAGAAGTTCCCTAGGAGATAAGAAAATAAAAACCTTTATTTTAGAACACAGGGCAAATTCACAGAAATAAGAAATGATAGATCTTCCTGTGCATATGAGTTCATGGGGAATATAGTTGTATTAGTTGTATGAAACCAGAAGAAGATAGATTTTTAGACTTTTTTTTTTTTTTTCAGTCATGAAACCTGAACTCTGGGCCTGGGCACTTCCCTCAGCTCTTCAGCTCAAGGCTAGCGCTCTACCACTTGAGCCACAGCTCCACCTCTTGCTTTTTCTGCTTACTTGGTGCTGAGGAATCAAACCCAGGGTCTCATGCATGCACTACCACTGAGCCACCTTCCCAGCCCCGTTTTAAGACATATTTTAGAAAATTGAATTAAACCTGCCTCTAATATATCATCCTGGAGTTTTAGCAAGAAAAATTTATTCTGAGATTTTACTCTCTGAGACTATGAGCATGTGCATGCGTCTCAGAATCATAAGGGCAGTAAAATATCTTTCTTCACCTTCTTCTCTTTCTCCTCCTTCTGTTTGTCCTACTCCTCCTCTTCTACTTTTCTTCTTTTGTTCACTCTCCTCTTTTCTTCCTTCTTTTCCTATTCTCCTTCCATGGAGTAAGGATGATTATACTAGTATTTTCAAATTTTCTCATAATCTATACACCAAAAAGGTAATCTTGCTGCTTTAGAATTTTAGAAATTGCTATTGTAAGTTAGAGTCCATATTCCCAATACACAAATGTTGAATAACGGAAATATTACCCCCTATAAGTAATTAGCTTAGATAGAATTTGTGTGGATCTTTCGATTCATTTACAAGGTTGGCTCTCACATTAGTTGGTGTAATTTTTCTTCTGACCAGTGAGGATCCTTGTAGATTAATCTTTATATGATCAATGACAGAAGGTCTAGAATTCATTGGGCACAATAAGATTATTTCATTATGAAATTTCTCTGAGGTGTGTGACCCAGCCTGTGTTGCTTTGTTCTAGCAGTCTGACTTTTTGGAAAGTTATTAGGGCCCTCTGGGGACAGAAAGGCTAACATAGCCTGTCTTGCTACTTTTGAAATGATGTGATTGTAGACTTCTACTGCTCTATTGTGAGAAAGAAAACTCAAGATTTAGAAACCAGATGTAATCGATAACAACACATTTATGTTATTCCAAATTTGTTCACTTCGTTGTTGGATTTGGAACAGTCTTCACCATTTGATAACCAATCGATTTCTCTCTTCTGGTTGTGTGTTCTAGGAAACCTAACAAAACATATGAAATCTAAAGCACACATGAAAAAATGCCTGGAGTTGGGAGTATCGATGACATCGGTGGATGATACAGAAACTGAGGAAGCAGGTGTGTCACCCTCGGGCTCTCTTACCTCTTCGCTGTGTGTGGGGAGCTTTGTGGCACAGTGAAAAAAGAAATGTAGCTATTTAAAAAAACTGACAGCATTTCATTTAATTACAAACTTCACGTCAAAAGTAAATTGGAAGCATGTGCAGTGGCTCACACTTGAAATAATCCTAGCTATGCAGGAGGCAGAGAGATCAGGAGGATCAAGGAAGATCCAAAAGGTCTCAAATGGGAGAATGCCTTCCTAGCCAGCACAAAGCAAACTCCTGTACAACCAAATAAGTAAAGTATTATCACTTGTTGGGGGTTTTCTGTGGGTAAAGTAATATTTGAGCATTAAGGTCCTACTCTGAAGTCCTTACTGTAGGGCAAGGATGAATCCAAACACATACATAGAAACATTAGAAGCAATGCGTGTACCCCATGAAAACTACCTAAAATCAGAGGTATAACTGTGCCTGGGTAAGGAAAGCTTTTGGATCTTGATCTGTCTTGTCTTATATGCTTGTTTTAGAAAATATGGAAGATTTGCACAAAGCAGCTGAGAAGCATAGTATGTCCAGCATTTCAACTGACCACCAGTTCTCAGATGCTGAGGAATCGGATGGTGAAGACGGAGATGATAATGATGACGATGATGAAGATGATGATGACTTTGATGACCAGGGAGATTTGACACCAAAAACAAGATCGAGAAGTACCAGTCCTCAGCCTCCCAGATTCTCCTCCTTGCCTGTGAATGTTGGCACCGTACCCCATGGAGTTCCTTCTGACAGTTCCCTGGGACATTCTTCCTTGATCAGCTATTTGGTGACTCTGCCAAGTATTCAGGTTACTCAGCTCATGACACCCAGTGATTCGTGTGAAGATACTCAGATGACAGAATACCAGAGGTTATTCCAGAGCAAAAGTACAGATTCGGAACCAGACAAAGACAGGTTGGACATCCCCAGCGTCATGGATGAGGAAGGCATGCTATCTTCAGAGCCCAGCTCTTCCCCGAGGGACTTCTCCCCCTCAAGCCGCCATTCCTCACCTGGATATGATTCTTCTCCCTGTCGAGATAATTCGCCAAAGAGGTATCTGATACCCAAAGGAGATTTGTCACCTCGAAGACATCTATCACCTCGAAGAGAGCTGTCACCCATGAGACATCTGTCACCAAGAAAGGAAGCTGCACTGAGGAGAGAGATGTCTCAGAGGGATGCTTCCCCGAGAAGGCATTTGTCTCCCAGGAGGCCACTGTCTCCTGGGAAAGACATCACAGTGAGAAGAGACCTCTCTCCCAGAAGAGAGAGAAGATACATGACTACCATAAGAGCACCGTCTCCCAGAAGGGCTTTATACCACAACCCACCATTATCCATGGGGCAGTATTTGCAAGCAGAACCAATTGTATTGGGGCCTCCTGTAAGTATACCTCACTCTCTCTTCCTGTATAAGCTGCAGCTCACTGGAGCCTCTTAATAACACATTGCTGTGGTATGCATTATAACCTGGAGCTAGGGGAGGAGTGAACTTGCTGGCTGAAAATAGCAGACATTTTTATTGCATGCTGTTGTCAGTAGCACAGCTGTGGCAATACTCCCAGAGTAACATCGTGGCAGAGCAGTAGCATGCTTCCAGTTGGGAACAGGTGAAGCCTTTGAAGCTTAACTAATTATAAACATTGGGCTTTATGTGACTAACAAAAATGGAGCTACTGGAATGCCTGATTGCAGAGACACAGAGTGTTAGGTATCGCTGACACATACTCTTCTCCAAGAGAGGAGTCCAAAACTTCTTGCTGAAAAATGCACTCACTGTATATTTAAAATTAAAATGTAAAATAACTATATTTTAAAATGCACTTGCTGTGAGTGAATGGACATGTGAAGCTAGTACCCTTGCTGAAAGAGAGCCAGGGGACAACATTCCAAGATTTCGAGTGCGCATCGTCATTATAGACTAAGATGACAGCAGATGGGCATGGGTTATTTGGAAGCCAAAGGTTTAATACAAGTCCATAGAAGAGCCCCTCTTCTGCTCTGACGCAGCAGACTATTGTTGCGTCTCTGTTGGTGGAGGATTCGCAAAAGTAAGGCAGGCACTTAGCACAGGCGGAGTGTGAGAGCTTGGGAGTTTGTGCTCGACTTGGTTTTTGGTTTCCTGGTCTGCGTTTCTTCTTGTACTCTCAGTGCCCTGGATTCTGTAGCAGTATCCTTGCCAGCCATCGTAAGCATGGCTAGCTCCTAGCTCAATCCTGTCTAAGTCTTGGTAGCCACTTCCTCCCTGCCATCTCCTTCCACCACCTAGAATCATAGGCTCAGGCTGTCATTCTAAACTGTAGGAAGGCTCCCTGCTGTTTTCTAACACCTCCAATGCCCACCCCAACTCTGGGTAGCACAGAGCCTACAGAGACATGAGCACCAATCCAGACACATCTTATCTGCAAATCTAACAAATTAATAAGCTAGGAGAAAGAAGAACATTTCTGTAAGATTTTGTGTCCTAGAAAAGTTGAAAGGCGAGATCTTCTGCAATCTCTGCCACTGCAGCTCGAATAGAGAGCCCATAAATCCTTCCAGTTGTCTGACTGCAGCGCTGGGATGAGCGTCAAATCCTTTCCCTTGTAGAGACACAGGTGCATGAGCCCAACCTCAGCCTGTTCTCCCTGCACATCTCATGCTAGCATTGGCCCAGTGGACTGGGACTGGCCTGTGTGAGGTGCTAGAGCATATTCAGTCAAGTAAATCATAAAAGCAAAGCCATGAATACAGCCACGCTGTGGTAAAAATGATAACTCATAATCACATTAGGCAAAGGAATTGAAGGAGCAGATTTAAAGGAATTCATCTAATTCTTGGAAATGTTCTTAGAATTTTGTTGTCAAAAAGAGATTGGTTTGATTAGTAACTGAGTTTGCTCCAGTTTTCTTTTTAATTTTGCTGTTTAGTTCTATTATGTTGTTTTAAAATATCTATGCAGCTGTATATTTGATAGGCATATTTTTGTGTATATATATATATATATATGTTTTGTTTTGTTTTTTGTCAGTCGTGGGGCTTGAACTCTGGGCTTGGGTGCTGTTCCTGTGCTCTTCAGCTCAAGGCGAGCGTACGTACTACCACTTGAGCCACAGCACCACTTCCAGTTTTCTAATGATTTATTGGAGATAAGACTTTCCTGCCCCAGCTGGCTTTGAACCGTGATCCTCAGATCTCAGCCTCCTAAGTAGCCAGGGTTACAGGCATGAACCACTGTCGCCTGGCTAGACTTTTATATTTTACCATTGATGAAGTCTTTAGTCTCTTCCTCAATATCATTCTTTTTGGAGAATCTATCACCTGTTACTTTGTTCTTGTGATATGAGAGAAGAGATCTGAGAATTGTTCATCAATAGGAATTTAGGTTCCAAGCAGTTCCCACATTATGTTTTCTCATGCCATTGTGAGGTCAGGGCAAAATAGATACATGCCTGTGTCAACAGACTAGACTTAACAATGCCCCAAGAGATATTTCTCCTGGCTGATTATGTCACATGAAGATTTTACCCTCTCTAATAATGTATGAACCTATCAAAATGGAATAATACTACCAATAATCCTTTCTGAGAATTCCTGTTTTGTCTTTTTGTTTGTCTCTGATGGAGAACTCACAGGGTGGTGACTCTAGTGTGTAGAGACCTTAGAGCCCAATGTGATAACTGGATTTTCTAGCTTAGTCTGGACACAGGGTCCAGGGAGTGGGTTTAGAGACACTATGTGTCACTGCATTTCCTACTTCACTGTCATTTCTGCTCTATACCTTCTAATTGGTTTTTATTTCAAGATAGATAATTAGAGTGTTCATTCCATAATTTTTTAAAAAATGTAAGTACAAGGGCTTGAACCCAGGATCTGGACACTGCCTTAGCTTTTCCACTTAAGGCTAGCTCTACAACTTGAGCCACAGCTCATCTTCTAGCTTCTTGGTGGATAATTGGAAGTAAGACTCTCCAGATTTTCATGTCTGGGCTGGCTTTGAACCATGATACTTAGATTGAGTGGCTAGAATTACAGCAATGAGGCACTGTTGCCTGATAATTTTTGAAGATGTACCATGTATGTCTCAGGCGTAAGGATGAAATAACGTAGAGTTTCTAGTCTTGTCTTTAAAAACAAGCAAACAAATATATTTCTACTTTCATAAATAGGAAAAATAAAAGCTAGACTTGTCTTTCATTTTCTCGTCCATAAAAAAGACAAGTTTGGATTGCCCCTGAGCAGGATGGAGGTTGTCTGTGTGATCATGGACAAGTCACTTCACCCCTTGGCCACAGTTTACAAAATTCTGGCAGCCAGTGAGGTGGGCTGTGCACATATCTGTCCCTGGAAGAATTAGCCATTCATCTGCAGTGAATGCTGGAGTGGACTGTCCCAGGACAGGGCTGATCTCAAGCTTGGTAATGCCCCACCAGTGACTAAACACAGATCCGTCACCCCTCCTCTTGCATGCTGCCTTACTGATAGACTGTTGAAAAGATGAATAGCTTTAGGACATATTCAGTATATTCAACACTCTACTTGCAACCCAGAATCAAGGATCTCAAGTGATTTTCTGTAATGGTACGTGTCTCCCATTGGCTTCCGCACATCCCTTCTTTAGTTCTCCCTCCCCCAGTTCTCCCTCCTCCCTCCCCCACCCCTGAGATACACTTTCTGATGAGTTATATGCAATAGATGTCTCAAAATTACAGTCAGAAGTAAAATGGAAAAGATGGCCATGCCATATTTTTTAAACTTGAAATTTTGATAAATGTGATTAAGAGAAAATTCACTTCATTATCTTCAAAGATTGGAGTCATACGCACGATAGTTCTTCTGCCTTAAAAAGAGTGTGATAGAATGCCCTTTTCTGAACCAGAGCAAATATGAGAAAGATTTTGTGTGTATGAGACATTTAATTGATTCTTCCTAATACATTCAAAATTCACACCTTCCCTAGCTTATGACATCCTGGTGATTATACCATTTCATACGTATTTCCAGAATAAATCTCTTTTTTCCTTCAGTTTGAATATAGTGTAGCCCAGAGCAGAGTAAATGCCAAGCATGGCACACAGTAATAGAGATAATGCATAATTTATAGTTCCTGAGCCGGACTCCGGTCTAAATAAAGCTAGATGAATGCTTAAGGGTATAGAGTATTGCTTGAATTTTAAAACAGAAACATCTTTGAAATGAATTAGAATAGTTTTGTCTTTCTCGTGGATTGCTACCATAGTTGAGAAGATTTTATCTAAGTTCTCAAACCAAACAAACAAGTTCTTTCAAATAGAGTGATCCATATGAGGTAAGATTAGATACCCTTAAAACCCACTAATCTGAATTTTGCTACAGAAACATACATAGACGGTAAGTTCTCCATTTTCAGGACTGAAGTAAGAAGATCTGTACTTTTGGCTCCAGATTTTAAACTTTTTTTTTCTCCCCTCAGTACTAGGGTTTAAACTCGGGGCCTGTGTGTGCTAGTCACACCTCCAGCTCAAGTGTGTATTTGCTTGGTTGTTTCTTTATTTGCTGATACTACGGCTTGGAATCAGGGCCTGGGTACTGTCCCTGAGCTTTTCTGCCCAAGACTAGTGCCCTACCACTTGTGCCACAGCTCCACATCTAGCTTTTTATGGTTAGTTGGAGATGAACTTTCTTGCCTAGGCTGGCTTTGAACAATGATCCTTAGATCTCAGCCTCCTAAGTAGCTAGGATTACAGGCTCAAGCCACCAGTGCCTGGCATGTTGAAATATTCTTAATTCATGAATTCCAAGAAAATATTGAAGTGAAAATAATATCAACAGAAGAATCAAGACCCAATTATCTTAGTTTCCTAGTTAGCAAGCTGAATGCGAATGTTTTGTTAAAAACTACTCAGACAGATAGTTTTCTTAGGAAGAGACTACTGGAATAAGATTTAACTGGGCTTGGTTTGTGATTTGATGAAAAACTTGCTTTTTGAATTGGACATTTAGACCAGTGTCTTTTGAATTTAAAACTCCATTATTAGCGTTGTTTTTATCATTATTGTTAGGTACTTTCCATTGACCATGTCAGTTTGTGAGTACAATGCATTTTGATCAATGTCACCCCTCCCATCCTCTTTCCGCATCTCTAACATCACTAATGTTTGTTAACATTTTGGATTAGGTGTTTTGTTGTTTGTTTGTTTTTGTCTATCAATTATCCATTGTTTTCTTCTCTTTCTCTTACGAAGACCATACATCCTATGATGTGTCTCCAATGGCAAGTCCACTGAGTTATTGTCTTGCTGTTTAAAAACAGCAAGAGTGACACCCTCATTTCGAGATTAGAAGATGCAACTAGGAGACCCCTTCTGATCCAAGAAGTGGAAAGTTGCTATAGGGATAGGTAGCTTACTCTGCCTAGCTAACTGTTGCCAGTTGAGTTAGTGAGCATGAAGTCACTCCACTCAGCAGGAAGCACCGTTGGATCTGAATCTTGTGCTCTCTCTTTTCCTGTACAGAACTTAAGAAGAGGATTACCTCAGGTTCCTTACTTCAGTCTCTATGGAGACCAAGAAGGTGCTTATGAACATCCAGGCTCCAGCCTTTTCCCTGAGGGTCCTACTGACTATGTCTTCAGTCATCTTCCACTTCACTCTCAGCAACAAGTGCGAGCTCCTATCCCCATGGTGCCAGTTGGTGGGATCCAAATGGTTCACTCCATGCCGCCCGCCCTTTCTGGTTTACATCCTCCGCCCACCTTGCCTCTGCCCGTGGAGGGCTCCGAGGAGAGGAAAGGAGGAGGGCTAGGGGAGCCCTTCCTGAAGGACCCCTATGCTCTCTCCAGGCAGCGGGAGAAGCGAGCCCCTCACATTCTGTCGGCATCGGGTCTGCCCACCACTTCCTCCTCTCCTCGGCTATTGATGAAGCAGAGCACTTCGGAAGACAGCCTAAATTCGACAGAGAGGGAACAGGAAGAAAACATCCAGACTTGTACAAAAGCCATTGCCTCTCTCCGGATTGGCACAGAAGAGGCAGCCCTGCTGGGGGCTGATCAGCCAGCCCGGGCGCCCGATCCCCTCCAGAAACCCTTGGAAAGTGCACACGCTAGCATTAGACACTTTAGTGGGCCTGAGCCAGGTCAACCCGGTACCTCAGACTCCCACCCTGACTTGCATGATGCTGAAAAGGACAACTTTGGTACATCCCAGACTGCATTAGCTCCCCCCACGTTTTACAGTCAGAGTTGTGTGGACCAGGGCCCATCAGACTTTGACAGAAGCGAGGAATTTCCTTCAAGCACAGAGGAAGGCAAGGGACCTTCAGAGAAGAGTCAGCTACCTTGATGGAAGATGCATGGGAACTTTCATTTTCCACATTTCCCCCTCTTTCTGTTTTTGTTTTTCTAGGAATAGAGGTAATCAAGTTTATAGCATGCCTGTCCTAAGTTACGGTAGTTTGCTCTTATATATACTTTTGTTATTTCAAAAGAATTAGGGAAATTAACATGTCATCATGAGCCTGACCAAAACAAAATTTGAAATTAACCTATTGGGTCTGGTACTTTTAAAATTGTACAGATGTTTGTGCCTTTTCTTTACTTTGCTTATATTCTTATAAGCATTTTTTAGCAGTACTTTGTACATATTTTAGAATTTGTGTATCTGCTTTGTAATAAATGTAATTTCTTTCCTTTTTTGGACACTTGGATTGAAATGATGTAAAGCAAAACAGCATCAATATATATGTGAGGTTGCACTAAAACATATTTTTATATGATAAAAACTGAACAGCTTTTATGTACAGCTCTGATTCTGTAATACTAATATTTATTTACTTTGTTTCATAAATTATACATTTTTTCTTAATGTTGTGGATTGCTTTTCTATGTGAAGCATGGGATTTACTGTTGCGTAACTAGAACAAAAATGTACATTGTAAACAAGATATTTAAACTAGAGTATCTTATTATGCACTTATGCATTAGTTACAAGAAAAAAAAGATAAAGGATGTATCAGTCAGTTCTTGTAAATTTTTTTGTCTATTGTTTGCTGGATTGACTATAACTTAAGTGCTGATTGTGATTTTAAACTGATAGTACCGTACAGCATTAAAGTAAACAATGTGCTATTGTGAGTTTTTTCAAAGCTTTATAAATCAGTTATAAATAATATTAAAAGTATTTGGTCTTACGTGAACATGTTGATCTATATACTCATCTAAAATATGGGAAAACATTCCACCCCATGTAAATATGTACAAGTGCATCACTGGTACAATTTTATGTAACTCAATTGGACACTAGGTTGCCACAGACCTATGCTAGGGTGTCTTTAGAAATCAAAGTGACAGAGCACATGGGACTGTGGTAGAGCTTGGTTATCGGCCGGCCCGGTGGCTTGGCAGGCAGTGCCGTGCGCTGCCCATGGAGAAGACCTGAGGTTAGCAATCTCCTTGGTTCTTGCAGCACAGGGTGGCAACTGTAACTAAGGATGCATGGAGGGGTTGGGCTTGGACTCTGAGGGCTGAATGTGGAAGCCAGGAAGGGGGCGGAGACCCGCTCCCGGACCCTTCCCACCGGCCTGTCCACAAGGTAACAGGGTGAACACCAGCGTTAGGAGAAGTCCCCTTACCCTTTTGAATGGGGTAAAGTGTCACGCTCCTGGCTGTCTCAGGGGGAATGGAGAAGAGAAGTTTTCATGGAAGAGAAACTTTTGGAAAGATGATGCTTTTTGTATTTAACATTTCAGAATGGCTTTTGATGTGTGTCAAAGATGGAAAGATTCTTTGTAGGTCTGGAAGTACAGAGGGAGTGATACAGCAACATGTGTACACGCACGCACACATGTGTGCACGCACACACAATCTGGGTTATCTTTGTGCTATATAGTGGATTATAATTCTGTGAAACCAAGTTTGTATATTGAATTACATTAAGGAGTGTTCTTTAAAAAGAGAAATAAATATACAATTACATGCTTGAGGTGTCTAGTTCTTATGTGTTATTTTACATTTTTAATTTTCCATTTTTCTTTCTAAAGGAATTTTGGGGCTAATAGAACACCATCCAGGCTTCGGGGCTCTATCAAACCTGAGGCACACTGATTACAAAGGCTTTAACAAACAGCAAGATAGTTACTGGTTTCCATTGCCCATCTCATTAGAAGAGCTAGTGGTCACTACCTTGTAGACTCTAGAAATGGAAACATCCAAATCTAAGCTTGGCAATATACATTATATCCAAAGAGAAGTCTCAGGAATGAAGCAAGTTACCATTTCTCTTCTGCCTGCCTCTCACCTCACAGACACATCTGGAAACTCCACTGAGGAAACCCTTTATTTTTGCTGAGATTCCTAGTATGTTATGCAATATAAAATATCAATAAATCATAGGATTTTTATGATCAAGAGTAGATCCCTTTTAGTAATAAAAGCAGAAGCTCATGAAAGGTCAAAAATCAGCATTCCTATGATAAAAATCTCAAATTGGTAGATTTACCACCTACCTATTTTATGATCCAGACTGTCTTTTTTAAACTATGTTTTACAAAGGTGAATTAAAGGGCAACAACTCACTAGCTTAACATCTATAGCTTACCAGGAAGAATCCTTGAAACATTTTGATCGTGGAGGGTAATTTTTGTGTCATTCCTTATGAGCCTGGTGTGGTGGTGGTGGTAATGGCAGTGGTGTGTGTGTGTATGTGTGTGTGTGAGAGAGAGAGAGAGATCCCAGGCTACTTCAGCTCTTTTCTTTCTTCTTTACCTATTTTATCAGTCATGGATTCACTATTTACCCATGTACTCATGGTTACCTACAATTACTTGGTGTCATGATGGTCATTTAGAGTGAATAAGAGAATTTTTGTCATCAAGATACTCAAGTAAATAGACATGGGCAAATATAATCACTAAGGAGAGAGCAATCACCTTGCTGATAATAAGAAAGAGGAGGCTGCATTACAGAGATAGTTTTGGAACATAACTTTGAAATGATATATTGACTGACTAACAATTTTTCACCCTACTTTGGAACACCTGTATTGTGCACAAAGTATACAGTAGTGAGATAAAATCTTTACCTTTAGGGAGTTTCTATCCCACTGGGGATAACACTATTTTTTCAAAAAAATGGGAAAGCAGCTAAATGATCCAAGATGCATGAACCATAAATGTGCTAAAAAAAATACTGAAATGCAATTAGTACCTGCATAGCAAGGCCAAGCTAGAAAGGCTCTGCAAAGTCCTAGTCTGGCCTCTTGATCTGGCTCTGTAACCAATGAGGTGCCAAGAAAATGGTCTCATTGTGGCAGCGATTATTAAATAGGAGAAAAAGCACTGTTGAAACATACAGAGAAGATGGATTTTGAAGGAAAACAAGGCAGGGAGACCAGTTACAAGCATTCAATGTTTTTGCCATGGAAATAAAAGCAGCAACAATCCAAACAAACAGACAAGTGGTCTTGGAGAAAGAAGGAACAGGTTTACTAAATGAAGAGGAACTGATAGTAGACTGCTTTGGTTTAGAGGGTGAAAGGATAAAGGTTTTCAGTGGAGCAATGGAATGTCATTTGCAGAGAGAGAGAGGAAGAGAGAGAAAGAGAATAAATATGTAGGAAATGTGGATTATAAAAAGCTTTCAGCCTCAGAAAATTTGGAAATTGCCTTGCCAGTTCTTATCACTTAGATTTAACTGAGTGTTGTCATGGATGAAACCTCTAAATAGTACACTGAGGAATGGAACAGAACTCCTATGGACAAGGAACATATGAACCGGAGAAGATGGACTGGAGACAACACATTTTGTGTGCTGACCACTCATATACATGAGGTTGGGGCATTTGTAATAACTTCATTTTTATAAGTCGTCTTAAGAAATTCCCAGAAAAACAAAGCTTATGAACATATATTTAGGAAAAACAAAATTATTTAGCAATGGTAGTTACTTGGTAGCATTAAAAGACAGCTTTACTGTTAAGCTGTTGAGAGATTATTGCACTAAGAGGTTTGAGGACAGCTCAGTAGTAGAGCACTTCTAGCATGCCTGGGGCCATAGGCATGATTTCTAGTAAAATACACACACACACACACACACACACACACACACACACACAGTTCGGGAGACAATTAAACTGACATCACGTACAAATGTCTTTTTTCAAAGCTTATGATCCAGTAAAGTTAGATGAAATTTTCAAGGAAAAATGGAAGGTTCATTTCAGAACCAAGGCTAAAATTGGTACTTGTTAACACTGTCTGGATTTGCTTAAAGAACCTTTTCTAATTATTTATACTCCACTCACATCAGCATTATAATCATAATTTACAGTGAAATTTGTTCAGAGTTGAACAAGATCAGGATGCTACAAGAAGCATCAAACTAATTTCTGCCCTGGATAGCTAAGATTAGTACTAGCTTAGAATATGTTGCTACATATGGTTGCATGTATTTTACCATAGTGTAGAATTTCCCCACACACTCATGGGCTTGTTAGCCATAAACAGGGCCTAGTAATCTCCCTGCCTTCTGAGTATAAAGAAACAAAAGCTTAAACATACTCTATATGTAGCAATGAACCCATCTTGGCCTTATAATTACCAAAGACAATGATAGAAATTGTCTTATTTAGCACTAAAATGTGTCTAAAGTTAATGATGGAGAAGTACCATTTCTCAATATTCAAGAAATCTCTAGATCATTTTATGAGTGCATATCCATTGCTTACAAAAACCAAGACATCTTTAGAAATCCAGCCACCCAATTCTGTTCACTAAATACTGTTGGATAATGTACTTCAGAGTCAGCAATAGACCTTGGCATGTTTTTTAATTCCAAGTAGCCTTCAAGCCTTCTTGTCTTCTTAAAATACAAGTTTAATATGTTGTGATGTTAGTACAATTTCATCTCAGCAAACCAATGAATACAATGATTTTGATGATATACTTCATTAATTCATTTGACATCACGTTAAGGAAAAAAAAACACTTTAAAATAGAAACTTAAAAAATACCTAATGAGTCATAAAATATTAGTTCATATCATCTAAGGCAAAATGGAAAGGCCATGCAGGCCTTTTTTTGTGAATAAGAGAGAAAAAGCACAAAGGTCCATCATGACTCCTCCAGCGGGAGCAAAGGTTGGCATTACCTGAGTAACTGCTGGCTTCTTCCTGATAGGAACAGAAGGCATGGCAGCAGGAGGCTGGCTCCTTTTTCTTAAGTACTTGTTCTGCCAATCAAATCTGACGGCAATCTGTATCCTTATTTACAACCTTAGCCCGGCTCTGAAAGGGCTAGGCCCATAAGATTCATCAAATAAATCCTGAACATTTCCACTCTTAGGGAGAATCGGACTTGAGTTCTAGCTTGTAAGACCAGCACTCAGTTCTAGGAATACTCCTCATTACGATGTGAAAGGAGGTGGTAGCATTAGAGTTTTCATACTCAAAAGTATTATCCAGAGCAAGTCTCCCACTGTTGTGTTGTGGAGGAAAAAAACCAATCACACACACATTGTGTATGGCTTAAAGGTCCAGTCACTTTTTGTCAGTGGTGGGGCCTGAACTCCGGGGCTGGCACTATCACTCAGCCCTTCAGCTCAAGATTAGTGCTCTACCACTTGAACCATAGCTCCACTTCCAGCTTTTTCTGCTTATGTGGTGCTGAGGAATCGAACCCAGGGCCTCATACATGCAAGGCAAGCGCTCTACCACTGAGCCACCTTCCCAGCCCTCCAGTCACTTTTTATCAAGGCAGCATCCCGTGACAAAAATATTTTCAATAGTAATAATACAAAGTATATCCTGGCCTTGTTTTCAATGCTTTTATATTCATTGAATGGTCACACAAACTGAGGACAGCAATTTGACTAAGTCAGAATTCATACATTTAGGAGGTAGAAGAGCAGGCGTTGGATTTTAAAGCAAAGCACACCAGTAGAATTTTCGGCAATGATAAAATTGCTTTGTATTTGCACTTTGCAAATACAGTTGCCACATGTGGCTGTTGAGAACTTGACATTTCAAGAGAACTTGGATTTCAAGTTTTATTTCATTTTATAGAAAGTTCCACAGCCCCATGTGGCTGGTGGCTCTAGAATCGGACAGTCACCTGTACACGCCGCTCACTTTCCCTCTTTGAATGCCATGCCACACATTGCTGGATGTATTCACTCATTCAGTGAATATGCAGCTCCTCTCCGGTGCCTAGCGCTATGCTTGGTATTGAGAATAAAACAACGAAAACAACAAATCCAAGCTTAACAAAACTACAGATTGCCCATCATAGAGCAGGACCATTTGGGGGCTTACAACCAAGCATTCAGTAAAGCATTTTTGGTGGTGTGATCTCATCTATTGCTCTTCATTCTGTGTAGTCTTAACTTGGGAATCACCACAGGCTCCTCAAGCTAAGATGGAAATTAGATCACATTTGGAGGGTTTATGTGGGTTCACCACCCCCTCCCTCCGTCTCATTCTAAATGCTCACAGGAAGATCTAAGAAGAACCCTGGCTCTGCTTACTGGTTTTACCCTAGAGCTGCAGGCTTTGTAACAAGACAGCTTTGTACCTCTGGCCTGAAAGTCCTGTGTTGCTTCTGTGCTGGCCATATGTAAGTGAACGAGTCACAGGACTGCTCTGCCATTCCTTTCCTCAAGATAATGGGGGCTGTGGAGAAAGTCAAGAAACAGATTTTCCTTTGCTATCCTGAACTAACCAGGGAGCCTCTTTGACCTGGGGCCTGAAGACAAAGTTTGCACCTTTCCATCATTTCCCACTATAACCAAACTCATGGCAATTTTGCCTCTTTTTTTCTTGTGAAAATACTGTACAGAGGGGTTACAATTACATGGGCAAGATAATGAGTACATTTCTTATCAAGCATTGTAGCCTCCTCCTT